GTTCCCAGGGAACAAGGGACAGGACAAAAGGAAATAACTTCAAGTTGCTCCAGGGGAGGTTTAGGTTTGATATTAGGGAAAATGTCTTCACTGAAAGGATGGTTAAGCTCTGGCACAGGCTGTGCAGGGCAGTGGTGGATGTCAAAAGTCAAAAACTACAATTTAATCTGTTGTGGGTCACCACAAAACACAGGTGGACAGACAAGGCATTTCAGGGAACACTTTTCCTCCCAGGGGATCCCTAAAGCTTTTCAGTCCCTTCTGTGCATCATCTCTGTTCTGTTCCTGTATAAAAGCCTAGTGACATTTTGCACTGACCTTGAACCCTGGCAGTGTCTCTCCTTGCTGCACCTCGAGCAAGATTTGTCCCTCCTGGCATGCAGGAAGTTAAAAATCCCAGGGCTGCTGGTCCTTCCTGATGGCACTGGATGTCTCCCGTGCCCTCGCTCCTGGCGAAGGCAGATGGACGACCTCGCCGTGTCCTGTTTCTGCAGCTCAGCAGGCAGCTGGAGCTCCTTGTGTCGCTTCTCTGTGGAAGGGACAGCCCCAGCTCTGCTTGGAGCAGCTCTCTCCTGTCCGCCCTCTGCCTGCTCCCCATTCTGTCACACCTGCTGCAGATGGTTGTGTTGAGCAGAGCTGAAAAAACAAGAAAATTCGGGAAGGGTTGAGTCAGTGTCTGATGATTTTCTTCTTGTTTTCTGTAGCTTGAATAAATAAGTTTCAATGTCAGGCTCTGAGCTCTGTTTCCAAGAATAAACGTCAGCCTTTGGGAACTGAAGGACTGCACAGAGGTCACTGATGTCCCAAATGTCTTTTGGCAAATGGAACTTCAGCTGGAACGTCCTTCTCCACAGGGTGCTCTCCATCCATCCCTCTATCTGTCCCTCTATCCATCCATCCCCCAGTCTGTGCTGGTATGGGGATTGCCCTGACCCAGGTACAGGACCTTTCTAGCCAATCTCCTCCCTGGTGGCTTTTACAACAGGTTTCATTTGTACTGCTTTAAGGCCATGAAACACTGTGGAAAATGTTTCAGCCCTAGAAAGGATCCCTAGAAAGGATTCCCTTTCTAGGGACACCAGATCATTGTGGGGCTTCCAGGTCTGTGCTTCCTCTTTGCATTCACCTTTAAAAAATACTCAACATTCAGTAAGTGGAAGTGCCAAGATAAACAAGAAAGGTTTATTTTTTTTTTTTAATTTCCTTCAAGGAACTGTGCTCAGGATATTCTTTCATTTTTTTTATTGAAAGAACTAAGTCTTTGCCAAAAAGATTGTTCTTCCCAGCTTTGCCAGGTAACTCAGCTGGAAATTAGTTTGGAATTGTGCCTCTCTCGATGACGTGGGTTGGTTGCTGTCAGTAAAGACTTGCAGGTTGCAAAGGTAAAGATTTCTTAGTCCCAAAAAGGAGTGAGGCAGCTCGAGGCTGAGCACCCTGTGAGCAGAGTCACCGTCACTGTGACACCCAGGGGAGCTGCAGCGGGTGGGGACAGCGCCTGCCCTTCACTGTGAGGGGTGGAGGACTGTGCCTACCTGCTCCTGCCTGCTCTCCTGCCTGCTCCTGCCCATTTCTGCTTGCTCCTGCCTACCTGCCTGCTGCA